TAAGATAGTGTATTGGCCAAAAATATAAGTCCAGGATTCATTTTTTATTTTATTTTATTTTTGCTGATAAATGATACATTGCTAGCAATAGCAGATCCAGGTGAAGTTATGGAGCATATAAAAGGTCAGTTGGAAGAACTTCAGGAAGTAACTGGCTTACGAATAAATTGGAATAAATCAGAAATGGTGTGCTTCAATTGTAATAATGAGGAGAAAGCATTGATAAAGGAAAAAAACTGATATTAAGATAACAAAAAGTATTAAATATTTAACATTATATCTTACAAAAATTTACAGGATTAAAAATAATTGACAATGTAAAAAATGAATTAAAGGAATATAGGAAGATTATGTTATTTCGGTTGGCTGAATTGTATTGCATAAACTGAAAATGTTGTCAAAGCTTAATTTTTTATTTTGGATCTTACCATTATTAAATGAGGCAGAAATAAAAGAATGGAAAAATACAAAATAAATTCTGTAAGGGTGATAGAAGAGCCATGATAAATAAAACATTATAATATCAATCACAAAAAGAGAGAGGGTTGGGTCTTCCTATCATAAAATGTTATTATTTAGCTATTGAAATAAGAGTGTTCTGAGTACACTCCTGAACTGTATTGAGTCCTGAACCCTTTGTGCACGGCAGGAGAGGAAGCGGAACACATTCCATATGCATTGTCTCCCACGTACTTTTGGTATCACCTGGCAGGACAAAGTTCCAAACAGAGTAGTCCTAGAACGAGCTGAAATTTTTAGCATGTATACATTACTGAAACAGTGATGTCTACATTGGCTCAGGCATGTCGTGAGAATGGCTGATGGTCGGATTCCAAAAGATCTCCCCAGAGTGAGTCCACAGCTGCGATACAAGGATATCTGCAAGCGGGATTTGAAGGCCTTAGGAACGGACCTCAACAGATGGGGAACCTTGACATCTAGAGGCAGGCAGTGCATCATGGCCTCTCCCATTTTGAAGAGACACTTGTCCAGCAGGCCGAGGCAAAGAGGCAGTCATGAAACCAGCAAAATCAGGGAACTGGACAGGGGACAGATTGTATTTATCTTCAGTGTGGAAGGGATTGTCACTAGACGCTGTTCCAAGTCCTCCATTCAGAGCATGTTACCATAGTCTCTCGAGACTGAAGGATGCCTAATCTTAAAAAAATGAAATAAGCTTTACGTCAGATATTATATCTTCCCCAAATGCTTTGATTTGGTTTAACTTGGAAATGCAAGAAATAAATAGCAGTATAGAGAATATTATGTTTTGGAAAACAATAGGAATTCTATAAAAGAGTTGAAAGGTCCATTTTTGAAAAATATGTTGCAAATCTGGATTAAATATGGATTAATAATTTCTCTATATATGTCCTCTTTAATGCCTATAGTTGAATTTCTAGAAAAGTTTCCAGAAAATCTGAAAGGAGCTTTTCAGAATTTATTAAAAAGGAAACATATATTTAGATTAAAAGATCGGCTGAGGAAAAAATAAGGATAATGTTAGAAGGTGAGAAGATAACATGGATTAACACAATTCAATTAGTTTATTGGGTGCGGGGGAATGGCAAACGCCAGGAGGTGAAAAAGTTTGATGAAATTATAATTCAAAGGAAGCAGGAGAAAGTTAAACCAAGGATGGCAGGTAAAATTTATGAGATATTGTCAGGGTTAGAAAATTATCAGCAGGATCTTAAAACATTATGGGAAACAGATTTAGCTAGGGAAATAAGTACTGATATGCGAAACAGTATATGGAAAAAAAGAATTTTAAAGTCCATGCCTCTAAGAATAGAAGAAACATTTTACAAATTGATTTGAAGATGGTATTTGACAACTGTGTAATTAGCTATTATGGATTCTAGATACTCTAAATTATGTTGGAGTTATGGTCAAGATGTAGGTACTTATTTCCATATATGATGGAGATTTGAATCATTACTGAAATTTTGGAAGTTATTATTTTTTTAAATGGTGGAAATTACAAAAGTTACTTAAAAGTTTTCTGTATTATTGCATTAATATCTATTTTTCATGAAGAGCAGTGGGACTGAGCAATAAAGGAGTTGATTATGAATATAGTAATGGCAGCCAGATTGGTGATTGTGAAAAACTGGAAATCTAATCATACATTTCAAATAAGTAAATGGTACAATGAAGTCTGGGAATTAACCATTAAATATAGGTTGACATGTGACATAAGATTTAAAAAGAGATTGTTAAAGGACAATATGTTTATTGATATATGACAAGAATTTTTTTGGATTTTGTATTATTGAAAGGGAAAGGCCAATTACCAAGAAGAGATAATGGTTTTTTGGAAGTGTTATGGGGCATAATAATCAAAAGTTTAAAGGAAATACATCTCTGTTCTTCCCAGTAATGGGTGCACTAATTTAGTTATGTTTATTGTGTTGTTGCAAGGTAAGTATATTTCTTTCTGCTTTTTTATATTGTTTATCCTTTGATTTGGAGTTGGCTTTGGTATAATAGTTGTTCTTTAATTTGGGTTTTTTTAAAAAAATGTTTATTTTTTAAAATATTTTTTATTAAAGGATAAAAATATTTTTCACACATAACATTTGTTTCGTTTAGTCGTTTAGTTGTGTCCGACTCTTCGTGACCCATGGACCAGAGCACGCCAGGCCCTCCTATCTTCTACTGCCTCCC